TTTTCTTGGAGCCCTCTTGAAGCCCTCTGGGTGCTTTTCGGGGCCTTCCCACGGCCTCCTCGCGATTTCCGGATGGCTTCAGGAGGGCCACGAGAGGGCTCGAGAGGACCCCGGAAGGATCTTGAAGTTGTCACTTCCAGCGCCCGTGAAAGTGACAACTTTTAGGGCCCTCCTGAGACAATCCTGGGGGCCTTCCGAAGGGCATGCTAGCTACTCCCAGGAACGGGATCGTTCACTGGCTTCCGCTGGCGCGCCCCTTGGAAGCGCAATCCCAGATTTCCACTGCGGGGGCGAGGATTGGGGGAGGTGGCGCGACTTTTTTTGCAAACCTTCGCTTGATTCGCTCGCGCGCGCGAGCGAACCCATGCAAAACTTATCCTGACGAAGGACCCAACCATATGCAGTTATGGGTACCGCAACTGTGAATACCTTCTTCGGTGAAGGTCCCTAGGGGCCACGAAGCGCTGCACTGGGTGGGGCCGAACGCATGCGGGCGGTAGCACTGGGGCAGTCGGTGGAGTTCCCTATGGGGCCACGAAACGCTGTACTGGGTGGGCGAACATTCCAAATTGGGTGTGTGGGGCGCATGCGGGCGGTCCCACTGGGGGCTTCGGTGGAGCTCCCTTTAGGGCCACGAAGCGTTGTACTGGGTGGGTGGGCTTTCGGGACGCATGCGGGCGGTCCCACTGGGGGCTTCGATGGAGCTCCTTATGGGGCCACGAAACGCTGTACTGGGTGAAAATGCGAAATTGGGTGTGTGGGACGCATGCGGGCGGTCCCATTGGGGGCTTCCAGTAGAGCTCCTTATGGGGCCACGAAGCGCTGCACTGGGTGGGTGAGAATGCCAAATTGGGTGTGCGGGACGCACGCGGGCGCTCCCACTGGGGGTTTCGTTTGAGCCCCCTATGGGGCCACGAAACGCTTTACTGGGTGGGCGAAAATGCCCAATTGGGTGTGTGGGACGCATGCGGGCGGTCTCCCTGGGAGCTTCGATGGAGCTCCCTATGGGGCCACGAAACGTTGTACTGGGTGGGTGAACATGCCAAATAGGGTGTGTGGGACGCATGCGGGCGGTTCCACTGGGGGCTTCGATGGAGCTCCCTATGGGGCCACGAAGCGTTGTACTGGTTGGGTGAAAATGCCAAATCGGGTATGTGGGACCATGCAGGCGGTAGCACTGGGACCTTCGGTGGAGCTCCCTATGGGGCCACGAAGCGCTGTACAGGGTGTGCGGGACGCATGTGGACGGTAGCACTGGGACTTTCTGTGGGGCTCCCTATGGGGCCACGGGTGTGCGGGACGCATGCGGATGGTAGCACTGGGACTTTCGGTGGGGCTCCCTATGGGGCCACATGGGGCTCCCTATGGGACCACGAAGCGCTGTACTGGGTGGGTGAAACGCAGGTAGGAGGGGGAAGAGGGGGAGGGAGGAGGGTAGGAGGAGAGGAGAGGAGAGGAGAGGAACGCGGGGCATCGTCTTTTCAAAACGAGGACCCAACACTGCAGGATGGTTTGGAAAAAGTGTTTTCCAAACAGGTGTTTTGGCCATCGGTGTATACCAGAATCGGTGTATACTTGATTTTCCATTGGGTTTTTAGCAGTTTTCAGTATACACCAATCTTGCGGTTGGGGCGTGCGTTCCGTTTTTTTCACAGGCGACCCACGTGGAAACGGCCGTTGTCAACGCCAGGCCCGGCCCTCACCCAGCCCACGGCCCCTGGCAGGCTTGCAAGACATTTTGGGTAGGGACGCCTCCCCTGGAACTGGGCCCTCTGGAAGCCTTGGGGTGCTTCTCGGGGCCTCCCAGGGTCTCCTCGAGACTTCGGGAGAGACTCAGGAGGGCCCCGAGAAGGCTTGAGAGGGCCCCAGGAGGCACCTTGCAGTTGTCACTTCCAGCGCCCGTGAAAGGGACAACTCCCAGGGCCCTCTTGAGGCCCTCCTGGGACCTCTCTGGAGGCTTCTCGTGGGCCTCGGGAAGGCCTCCAAGGGGCGCCCAAGAGATTCCGAGACATCGCGATGTCTTTGCACGCCTCACTCGAACAATTGATTGGGGGCTTTCTACTGTGTGATTTGGAATAGAGGATGGGGGTGGCACAGACTGTCCCTCGTGCGTGGGGGTCACTGTGGGGATCGCTGTCCCTCGTGCGTGAGAGGAGGGATTATAGCAAAAACTGCCCCTCGTGCGTACAGCAAGCGGGGATTGTAGCAGAGACGGCCCTTGGTGCACGGGGGGCACAACAAAACGGTCCCTCGCGCATGAGACCGGGGATTATAGGAAGAACGGTCCCTCGTACAGGGCGGAAGATTCCAGCGAAAGCGGTCTTTCGTGCATGATTGGGGGTAGGTTGTGACAAAAAAGGTTCGCCGCGCATGAGGGGGGATTGTGGCAAAAACTGTCTCTTGGTCGTGAGGGGGCTGCAGGAAAAATTGCCTCTCGTTCACGGTCGGGTGAGCAGCAAAAGTAGACCCTCGTACATGAGGGTGCGCGTAGTGAATTTGCCCTCTCTGTCACGAGTAGTTTGTAGCAAAATTGTTCTTTGTACATGAGCGGGAGTGTAGTATAGACGTCTCCTCGTGCATGGGGTATTAGATTGAAGCAAAAACCGTCCGTCGTGAATGAAGAGGGTAGCAACAACAGCTATCCGTACGTTGGGCGGGATTACAGCAACAATGGCTCCTTCGTGCATTGGGGGTTTTAGTAACATTGCCTTGTGTGTGTGTGTATGAAGGGAGACTGCCGCAATACCGTTCCCTTGTGCACGAGAGGGCGCTGAAGCGGAGGCACCGCCCTCGTGCATGCGGGGGGATTGTAGCAGAAAGGCTCATGAGGCGGACTTGTAGCAACAGCGGTGCCCTCGTGCGCGAGGGGGGAGATTGTAACAAAAATGGCCCGTCGTGAACGAGCGAAGCAGGGTACCCTGGATGGGATAATAATCGGCGGGTTATTAATGGAACCCTCTCGGAGCCCTCCCGCGGCCTTGAGAGGGCTTTCATGGGGCCCTCTGGGGCTGTCTTAGGGGCCCCACGAGGCTCCACAGAAGGCGCTGCAAGTGATCGCTTCGAGCTCCATGCCGTGGAGTTGGACCAGAGGCTCACCGAGATCTCTCCTGGACGCCTCTTGTGGCTCTCTTGGGGCCCTCCTGGGGCTTTCCGGGGCCGTTTGGGAAGCTCCGAGCGGCCCCCAAGGGGCACTTGAGGGTATCGTTTCGAACCCCACGCTGTGGAGCTGGACCAGGGGTTCATTTGGGCCCCGTTTGGAACCCTCTCGTGGCTCTCCTGGGGCCCTCCCGGGGGCTGCTGGGGCTTTGTTGGGGCCCCAAGATGCCCCCGAGAGGGCACTGGAAACTACCGCGTCGAATGCTTCCGCGGCCGTTTTCTCGGTGGGGTAAGCTGCATTGGGAGCGACAGGATGGCCACGCGCATGCGCCGATTTCGCGCATTTAGCAAGCGAGGGAACAGAGCTTCTGCGGTGACGCGTGTGGGGGGCGCCCACGCGATCTTTGCTTTGACGGTCTTCTGGCAAACGGTGTCGGTGTATGCTCTTTGGCCTCCTCGAATTCTGGCACGCGCGGGCGAGAAAGAGAGATAGAGGTCACGCCCAGCTCTGGGCTCCACCTGGGGCCCACGGCAGCGCCCGCCTGCCGCCGCCTGCCGTCCCGCGCGAGCCGGCCCTGGCACCGCGGCTGGGAGTGCGCGGGCGCGTGCGTCACCGGTGGCCTCGCCGCCTGGGCACCGCAGCGGTGTCTGCGGAGGTTGGGGCTCCACGGGGTCCTTCGCTTTGTTACGTTTCCGGCCGCTCGCGATGTCGGAGCGGAGCGCTTGGACGGGAGTCGGAGTCGGCCAGGAGCCTCTGGTGGCCCGGCAGAAAGGGGGGGGGAGGAGGAGGAGGAGGAGGAGGAGGAGGAGGAGGAGGAGGAGGAGGAGGAGGAGGAGGAGGAGGAGGAGGAGGAGGAGGAGGAGGAGGAGGAGGAGGAGGAGGGAGGAGGAGGAGGAGGAGGAGGAGGAGGAGGAGGAGGAGGACGAGGAGGAGGAGGAGGACGAGGAGGAGGAGGAGGAGGAGGAGGAGGAGGAGGAGGAGAGGGAGGGTTTTTTCCGTCCTCTTTGGACCCCTATGAGGGCCTCTCGTCGCCTCGGCTGGGTGCGGCTCGGAACATTTGGTGCGTCTGGACCCGGGGAGGGCTCAGGAGACCGATTCTGAGCGGCTTTGGCATCGCCTCCCTCCATTGACCGTTCTTCTCGGGGCCCATCCAGCACAGAACCCCCGGCCACCTCCAAGACGGGAGGCGGCTCCCAGTGTCGAGGGGTGAGAAGCCGCTCTGGCCGCCACAGCCTAGCCGCCGTTTGCTGAACTGTTCTGCGCGGTTGCTGGACAGCCCTGTTCCGTTCGAGTTTGTCTTTGGGTGCGGGGTGGTCATCGTGCGGATGTTTTCTCCCCGCACGGGGCGAGAGGAAACAAGAGAGAGAGAGAGAGAGGGAGCGCGGACATCGGAGTACGCCATCAAGTGGCTGCGTGCCTCGGTGAGGCAGCGTCCCAGAGCTGCAGCCGACGACGCTCCATCTTCCTCGACGGTTCTGGACGGCGCTGACGTTCCCAAGTTTGCCGTCAAAGCTCGGGACCCACACCCGAGAACCGCGATGACCCTCATCGCCCTCCTCACGATAGCTGATGGCTGAGGGCAGGTTCGTCACTCAGACTGACGCCAAGTTCCCTCCTGCCTCCCAGCCTTCTCTGGGAGAGAGTGGGTGGAAGATCAGCTCTGTTCGGGACCAAAGTCGCCTGAAATGGCGAAGAGGAGAGGGTGGACGACACCACACGGAGGGGCCGACGGGGGACCTCTGCGACTACCCAGGGGGGAGAGGGAAGAGAGAGGATCTTCCTACTCTTCTTTCCTCCTCCCCCGCCTCTGCCTCCTCCTCCTCCTCCTCCTCCTCCTCCTCCTCCTCCTCCTCCTCATCCTCCCTTCGCTCCCCCCGCCCCGCTCCCCCCCGCCGGGGCTCAG